TCCGCAGAGAACAGCAACCAAAATGGTCAAAGGGTTACAATCTAAGACCTACGGTGAAAGGCTGCGAATTCTGGAACTCTATTCGTCTGAATACCGTCAAATACGGGGGAGACATGATGCTCGTTTATCAACTACTACATCAACCTAACCACTCGTGTAGTACTCTAGTGAAGCTATCCAGAAAAGGTTACCTCCGAGGACACCCGTTTAAACTTCTGCCCCAAAGGAGCTGGCTCGACTGAAGGCGTCATTCTTTCAGCCTCAGAGTTTGTAACACCTGGAATTCTCTTCCACCTCGAGTTGTTTTTGCACCAACCATCGATTTATTCAAGTCACGATTGGATGAAGCATTAAACCACCCAACTATTCAATACCAGTGAGTGAACGTCAGAATTTGTTATTCAATCGTACTACTAACCGAACTGACTGTGTGTACAGACCCTATGGGATTAAATTAGCATCAGCTTTGTGATTTACCCATAATAAAAATTTGAAATTTGAAATTGAATTTGGACGACTTGTGAGCGGTGCTCTCAGCTCTCTTTACAATTGGTTCGGTGTGAGTTGCAGTCACTAAGCACTATTCATAAAAGAGCTTACAATTCACACTTTCCTTGTCCAGTCATTTGCACCTCGTACTGATCGCGTACTGTGTATCCGCCAAACGTTTTGCTCAGCCCTCGTAAGAACAACTGATATGAGTTAGACGGCAAAAATTAATACAGCCCGTCATGATGCCAGACGTAAAGTGACATGTTCCAAAACAGACGGTACAGTTATTCTTTTTGTATCACAACTCAGTGTAACTAATGTCATTTTTTGCATTGCATACAATGATAAATGGGAACAATTGAATTTTTTGCTTTATAATAACGGTTCGATTGAAGACTCACCTCTTTCTTGAACACCTCCAGTTCCCCATATGTGTATTGCAAATGTCGCAATGTGCCGGCCACATTCACAATCGGGAATAGACCGGTACAGTACCGAGCTTCCACGTGACTACGTATCGGTGTCACATAGGCCATATCGTGACGACAAGCTGCGCTGGAGACCAGTTGTGTCAGAGTCAGACCCAGATTGCGGAGGCTGTATTTGCGAAGCCAGTCACGTGTGGTCACCTGAGAGGCGTGTGATACAGGTGTTGGTTGAATTAAAAAAATTTGTCCAAATCATTTATGCATTAAACGCATCGAGTCAACAAAGCCGCAACATAGTTTGGGACAGATTGGACTCGACTCCTGTTTGTGTTGCATTGTTCGTCCAATAACTACATCTTCCCCATCAGGCTTTAGGCAAAACCCACAATCCTTTGACGTCGATTCTTTAGCCCCGGGAGCACGAACTTTAGGCAGCCCGTGAAGTGTAATGATTGTAATAGTATTGGTAGTACGCATGGAATTCGGAATGCGAACCACGCAATAGGAATCACCGGACACGAGTCCAGGATCAGCTGTCACGGACTGGATTACAGAAGCACTGGACCACAACAGCACGAGCTCGCAATATCCCACGTGGACGAGACACGAGGAAAAGGCCACAGGAATAGTAGTATATAGTTAGTCTATTGGAAGAAATGAAGGTCATTAGATGATATGTACATAAAAATATTATTGGTTATCTAGGCTTACACCAATCGGATTGCAATACTGCTTGCATAATCTTGCTTCTGTCCGCACTGTGTTGGATTGGCTGGCACGATCTGACTATGGCGTGTAGTCGGAAGCAGTACGCGTGTCACTGACGTCAGCATTCAAATTTGATTGATCGCATGTGTCCGAAAACCGTGACGCACCGCTCCAGGGTAGGCGTCATCTCGTATGCCTGAATTACCACATTAAGTCACCGTTCCCCCACCATGCTTTATACAAAACCCGTAATTCTTGAGTGTCGACCGCTGCAATTATGTCAAATGTTACAGCGTTAATAAACTGGTGATAGTAGTGGGGTCGTAATTTTGTGAACGGTGTTCATTATGCTCGGCCTGGTAATGTATCCACATCTCAGAAACGGAATTATTTAGTGTCATGGAGACACGGAACGTAAGCATTTACTCTTTTGTGGTATCGATTTCTTATTTATTCCAGAGCTTGTGAATGCAAAACAATGTACCGTTGGTGTTACATTTGAGAGTTTTACCTCACAGGCGTATCGCATTTTATACGGGAATATTGAATCTGTATGAGATGTGCCAAACGGTTTGACGATACGGGCACATCGGTTAAACCTTCTCCCTAAAATCCCGGTGGTGATTGGATTCACCTGCACACACTAACGCTTTGTTGCAGTTCTGCGTTCCGACCAGTTGACAATGGATTTGTAATTCCCATTCTCAACCCTTTCCCTTTCTTCTTGAAAGCCTCATAGATTCGGGGTAGAGGTAAACGCAAACTGGCCTCAAATTATAAATCTCACCAAACAAGTGGGAATTCCCCGGGGCAGGAAACTGAAAAATGACTCCTGGCTCATACCAGCCTGCCGAGATGATGTTTGCAAGGTTGATCGACTTACGTACGGCACATGGGTTGCAATCTTTTGATGCACTCAGTGCATGTTCGTGAACAAAAGCACCCCCCCGGGCAAACGGCTTCTGCTGCAGCTGAATGGGGTCGAGTATGCCCCAGGCAGTGACTGTTTGATAAGACCATTTATCGCCATTCCTACAGATAAAACTCATCGGACCCAGCAGAAAATGTGCTTACATTACTACAGATGTGGTGGCGGCGCAATGGTTTGGTCGCTGTCACCGGTTTGCTTTGAACTGTATGGTCCCGAGGTTCGCGCTCCGTCACCCACCTTTGGTGGTTGGAGGCTTTGCTGTCGTCCGGACACATACTACATTCAACCTAGCGGGGTTTTATATGGTTCGCCAATTCAAGTTCGGGGTGTTAGAGGTTACCGGTTTCCATCACTGAACAGCAGGTCCTCGTGACCATGGGGTTCCACCCCGTCTGATGGTTTTCGCATCAATTGGTTCTTCGAACATCTTATGTTTCTACTCATACGAATTGAGAATTGACATAATTGTGATTACCATTAGTACAGATTCACAGGGTATATGTCATTGTGACATACCTGTTCTTCTTCTTTCGGGATTGTGGCACGCCCGGTGAATGATACTCTTGCTCCACTCATCCTTGTCCCTGTACTGTCTTTTGTGTGACTCGGGGTTGAACTTGGCCTCGACCGGGTTAATCCAACCGGTTGCATCGGGTCCGTGACACGAGAACTGCCAAGTGAGGTGGCCGATACACCTCTCGACCAAGCCAGAGTTTTGGGGGGTATGGGATTGTTCGCGCGAGCCAGTCGATATTGCATGAGTCGATTACGTTGGTTGGCTAAAGCATTTAGCCTCGGAGCGATCGATTTGTCACCGGTCGTGTGTTTGGTTTCCGTCAATACCATCCGATCAACTTGAGCCGGGGGACTTTAAGCGAAAGAAGTAAGATTGATGAGGTTAGTGACAGACGGGGGATGGAGGGGTGGGTGGTCAACAAATGTGACAGACCTTTGATTGGCCGCTATCCTCTCCCTGGAAATTGTATCTTTGTATATTCAATAAAAGGAAGTAAAATGAAAAAAGAAAAATGGTTGTTTGTACGAAAAGAAAATATTCCCTAGTTTTCGCATACGAGTATCAAGTTGTGATCAGTGCAGCACTGAAGTCATAACTGAGTTCGGTGTGCGTGGAACGATACAGTGTGATCATTTTGTTCCACGTTCAAAAGTGTATTGGTAATTTTTAAGATGATTAGAAAATCAAATACCCCAAAGATCCTACCGAAATTTTTCAAGTAAGTTTTGATCTTTTAAATTGAGTGTCACCCTTCTAAATTATTTCGAAATGGATTAGCTGTTTAACGAATTTTAATTACCGTTATGCAACAGAATACACCCTTTACAGAGCACGAGAGAACCGACAGGTTTTGGGTTTCTGCTTTAACCATCATTAACGACATTCGCCACAGTTCGATACCGTCCGGTCAGTGGAGTCTTGAACCCAGGATAGCACAAGTCGAGGGATGCAAGAGGACCGCTCACCACCAAGACTGCACTAGGTAGACTCCCTGCCGAGCATTTTATACACTGCAACATTGAGGCTGTACGAGATGTGCCAAATGATTTGACGATACGAGCACATCGTTTAAACCTTCTCCAATCAACATGTGATGTAACGTGCTACCGCCACATCTCCGTTCCTGACCAAGCTTTGCACTATTGGCCGCAC